CACTCCACCCCAGCCCACACCACACCATACCATTTCACTACACCCCAATGATCACCACACCACACCAACCAATTTCACTCCACACCACACCACACCACACCACACCACGCCACACCACAATACACCACACAACACAACCCTAAAACACACCACACCACACCACACCACACCGCCCTAAAAAACACCAGTTCAATCCACACCACACCACACCACACCATTTCACTCAACCCCATTTCACACCACACCACACCAACCCATTTCGATCCACCCCACCCCACACCACACCACGTCATTTCCCTATACACCACACCACACCGCCCCATTTAACTCCTACCCACCCCATACCACACCACACCACACCACACCACACCACACCACACCATGCCACACCACACAAGTTCAATCCACACCACACCAGTTCCTATACACCACACCACACCACCTAATTAAACTCCTTCCCACCCCACACCACACCGCACCACATCACGCCACACCACACAAGTTCAGTCCACACCACGCCAAACCACACCATTTCACTCCACCCAATTTCACACCACACCACACCACCCCATTTATCTCCTACCCACCCCACTCCACATCACACCACACCACACCACACCACACCACACCACACCACACCACACCACACCACACCACACCACACCACACCACATCACACCATTTTAAGACACCCAACCCCTCACCACACCACCCTACACCCCACCACACTATTTTATTTCACTCCACACCACACCCCACCACACCACCACACCACACCATTTCACTCCACCCCACCCCAAACCACACAACACCATTTCACTCCAAACCACAATATCCCCCGCCACTTCACACCACCCCATTTCACTCCAACCCAACCCAACCCAGACCACACCAGACCATTTAACTCCTACCCACCCCACCCCACACCACACCACGCCACACCACACCAGTTCAATCCACACAACACCACACCATTTCACTATACACAACACCACACCACACCACTCTACACAACCCTAAAACACACCACACCACACAACCCTAAAACACACCACACCACACAACACCACACCACACTATTTCACCACACCACATTTCACACCACACCACCCCATGTCACTCCACACCACACCCCACAACACCCCATTTCACTTCACCCCAAACCACACCACACAACACTGTTTCACTCCATACCACGCCACACCACACCATTTCACTCAACCCTACACCACACCACACCACACCACACTATTTCACACTACACCACACCACCCCCTCACACCACACTATTTCACTCAACCCCACACCACAACACACCACCCCATTTCATCCCAACCGACACCACACCAAACAACACCATTTCACTCCACACCACAACATCCCACGTCACATCACACCACACCATTTCACTCGACCCTACCCCACCCCAAACCACACCACACAATTTCACTCCACCCTTACTCCAAACCACACCACACCAAACCATTTCACTCAACCCTATCCCACCTCACACCCCACCACACCTCACCACACAACCCTACAACACACCACATCACAACACACCACATCACACCATTTCAATCCACACCACGCCACACCACACCACACCACACCACACCACACCACACCAAACCATTTCACTCCACCCCAGCCCACACCACACCATACCATTTCACTACACCCCAATGATCACCACACCACACCACCCAATTTCACTCCAACCTTAACCAACACCACACCATTTCACTCCACAAAACCCCATCCCACCCCACCACATCCCAACCCACCCCACCCCACCCCACCCCACACCACACCACACCACACCACATCACACCACACCACACCACACCACACCACACCACACCACACCACACCGTTTCCCCCACACCACACACCACACCACACCATTTCACTCCAACCTAAACCAACACCACACCATTTCCCCCACACCACACACCACACCACCCAATTTCACTCCAACCTAAACCAACACCACACCATTTCACTCCACAAAACCCCATTCCACCCTACCACATCCCACCCCACCCCACCCCACCCACACCACACCACACCACACCACAGACCACACCACACCACACCACACCACACCACACCACAGACCACACCACACCGCACCGCACCACACCACACCACACCACACCACACCACACCACACCACACCACACCACACCGCACCGCACCGCACCACACCACACCACACCACACCACACCACACCGCACCGCACCACACCACACCACACCACACCACACCACGCCACACCACACCACACCAAACAACACTCCACACCACACCACACCACACCACACCACACCACACCACACCACACCACACCACACCACTAAACACCACTAAACACCACACCACACCACTAAACACCACACCACACCACTAAACACCATTTCACTCAACACCATCCGACCCCACCCAACACCACACCATTTTTCTACACCCAACCCCTCCCCTCCCCTCCCCTCCCCTCCCCACTCCACCGGACACCACACCACTCAACACCATTTCACTCAACACCATCCTACCCCAGCGAACACCACACCTTTTCACTCCACTCCAACCCACACCACACCCAACTCTTTCACTCCACACCACACCACCCCATCCCATTCAAGTCCAACCCACACCACACCACACTTTTTCAAAACACCACACCACACCACACCACACCACACCACACCACAACACACCACAACACACCACAACACACCACAACACACAAAATACATCCCAACACCACACCTCACCATTTCTCTCCACCCCACCCTACACCACACCACATCTTTCACTCCACACCACACCACCCCACCCCACCCAACACCACACCAAAACACAACACTACACACCATACAACGCCACCCCACCCTATTTCACTCCACCCGACCGACACCACACCACACCATTTCACTCCACACCACCCCACATCACACCGCACCATTTTACTCCACTCCACCCAACCCCACCCCACACGACCTAACACCATTTCACTCCACACCACCACAGGTCGGGCTTCATTTATACAAGACTTAGTCATGAAACGCCTTTACTTTCAATAATGTATAGTAAAATATCGTGTCGCCGTGTGTGATAGAGGTAGAGCATGTGCATGCCAGTCGCTAAATGAGTGCAACAATACTGTGTGAGATAGGAGTATGGTATTTTTTTCACTTTGTTATCGTGAGTCATGAAGTTGTGATGATTATCAAGAGAACACTTACTGGTGTAAGGTTGCTGCTGAAAGTACAGGTATAGTGACCTCTCACTGGTAGGGTAGGGTTACTGTATGTATGTAATTAATGGACCGTGTACTGTATAAATTGTCGTTGTTTATCCTGTGTGTGCGTGTGCGTGTGCGTGTGCGTGTGCGTGTGCGTGTGCGCGTGCTTGTGTGTGTGTGCTTGTACTAATGCCGATTTTATAGTTCTGGCTAACTTAGATACCATGCCACAGTTTTACACGAATACCCAACTTAGGAACAAAAAAATGACTCCGGGCTGACTAATTGTTTTGGCCCCTTAATGCCGAGCGCCAGGCAGGGTAACAACAAATACCGTTTCTAACCCCTTTTGGTATGAATGACGGGAATGAAACCCACGACCTTCCGCCCCCGGAGCGGACGCTCTACCACAAGACCACAGAGACCACAACATAGTTGAATATAATTTATAAAATCCTATTAGTGTGATCACAAATGCATGCTGAAAGAATAAGTGCTGCTTTATCAGGAATATTGGTTTATGTTGTATATGAAAGTACATGTATAGTGAGGGTTTCAGGAACTGTTCATCGCCTCCGTGGTCTAGTGGTAGAGCGTCCGCCCGAAGAGCGGAAGATCTGGGGTTCGATCCCCGGCCGCGTCATACCAAAAGACGTTAAAAGATGGTACTTGTTGTTAACCTGCCTGGCGTTCGGCATTAAGGGGCTGAAACAAGGACTGGTCGGCTCGGCGTCAGTATACTGGGTCTGAGTGGGGTATTCATGTCAAACTGCGGCATAGTATCTCAGTGTGCTAGCACTATAAATCGGCATCAGTTCGGACTAGTACAAGCAGCCACACACACACATACACGTGCATGCACGTCGCTATATAAGTGCAGTAATCTTGGACGCGACGTTTAACCCAATTTCACCTCACCTGGCTTGTACACATTTCTGGTGAGTAGGAGCTTATTGAGCAGTAGATCAAGAATGTGTCAAATATGCTAAGTACAATAGTGCGATGTTTGATGTAGTTGGATTTTTTTAATACTTGTATTGGATATAAATGTTCGTGTTAAATCATCGAGTATGTAGTCAGGGGTAACCATCTAGTATACAGACATTGTTCTATGGACGCATGATCATTATGTGGGTTTAATTCTACGCTTGACACGGATCAAAGTATTTGTGTGCTACATTTAACATTTGTCGTACGTGACGTCATCTTGTGCGAGAAGGGGCGTAGGAGTAGCCTAGTGGTTAAATCGTTGGCTCGTCACGCCGAAGACCCGGTACAATCTGTGAAGCCCGTTTTCCGGTGTCCCCCGCCTTCATATTGTTCATATTCATTGTTCACTCAATTCAAATTAACTTAAGCATTTATCAATCAAGTTTATATTTACTTATATATGTGTAATCTTATAAAAAATAACATCTTAAAATCCCTTTCCTGTTCGTTTTGAAAAACGATATGTATTTTCACTGGCCTTAATAATGTGTGATATTGGATTGATATGAATATGTGATTTGAGTTGATTGTGACAGGAGAAATTTAATTAAAAAGTAGATGTTTTTATTTGAGGTAACAATTTGTATTTTTATCAATAATAAAATTGTCTATAAATGACCGAGAAACAAGTCTACTAGAGTGAGGATGAATAGCTCAACAGAAACTAAATGTTTCTCTTTTGGATCAGCAAGTGGCCACATAATTAAAATATTGTTCCTTGTATTGCACAGTTGGTCTCAGAAAAACATGTTTTTAGCCAATTTGATAAAAATACTACATATTCAGAGACACTCAAGTGGATGCTTCACTATACAAACGTCGCATGGTTATGCATCTTACACACATACAATTGACATATGTATCTCAGTATTGTTTTGTGTCTTTCAGAATGGACACCTTCCCGAAGTGTTCCGTCTGTCATCAGGAGTTTACACTAAAAGGTCCAGTCTCGTACTTACTGCCCTGTCTACACGCTGTGTGTGAGACGTGTGTGACATCTGCGGCTGGCGGTGTGATATCATGCTCCACATGTCAGAGGGAGGTCAACCTCACAGACACATGTCTCCAGAAGGATGCAGTCAGACAGAAGGAAATATTCCACCTGACCGTCAAACAACGCCCCACAGAGCTCCTCTGTACATATGAAGATGACGGGAACCAGGCTGTGTGTTGGTGTCAGGAGTGTGAAGAGTTCCTCTGTGAATACTGCCAAAACATGCACAGCAGCGTCAAACTTTCCAGAAATCATGCTGTGCACAACTTTGGGGATATAACCCCAAAAAAACTTGAAAATGAAACCAATTGCAATATTCACGAACGGTATCCACTTCATTTGTTTGACAAAAGCTGCAACGTGTATATCTGTTGCCAATGTAGGAGAGGAGAGCATGCGGATCACGAGGTTGATTACCTGGATGAAGCTGCTGAAGGAGTTACACAGCGGATTGAACAACACAGGAAAGATCTGTCAGCGTTACTGTCTCGTCAGCAAACACACCTTCAGAGCATCAGACAAGAAACGCAGTTGACCAACAGGACTCAGGACACATTGAGGAAGACAATAGAACATACTTTCCGGTCTTTAAGATCACACCTTGACCAAAGGGAGAAGGAACTCCTGATTGATCTTGAAAGTTTGACGAGGGAAACCAAGGCAACTCTACATGCTTTTGAAACCTCATGTGAAGATCATCATGCAAGATGCACCGACATTTCAGGTTATATCCGAAAATGTCTTCTCTATGCTTCCAAATCAGTCCTCGTACAGCTGGAGACCACTGTTGAGGGGATGACTCGGACCTGCCTAGAAACTGCTTCGCCTGAAACACATGATGTACCTGAAGCTGTCTTCAACACCAATGGCTTGTCCAAACTGAAATCAGATATGTCTGGATTTGGGAACATCACTACCTTGAAAGAAGATTCAGAAGGGGGAACACCTGAGGGTATGCATATCAAAACAGTTATTGTGCTTTATTGATGATATGTGCCTATATTCTGCTGCAACTTAATAAAGGTGTTTCGTTTTTTGTTTGTTTGTTTGTTTGTTTGTTGTTTAACGCCACACTCAGCAATATCCCAGCTATATGACGGCGGTCTGTAAATAATCGAGTCTGGACCAGACAATCCAATGATTGACATCATGAGCATCGATCCACGCAATTGGGATTGATGACATGCATCTCATGTGTTTCGTGGTGTTATTTTAATTAAAGCATTGTTCTGTCACTCGGGATTCACAATTTGCTTCTACAATTACAGATAAGCAAACACAAACTGATGATGACTATTTGGCGGACCTGGAACAGAAACACGAAATGGTATGTCTAATTATATAGGGATACACGTAGGGATGAAATTGGTTTGTATATCGTTTTGTAACACTCATTGAGGAGAGAATGGTGAAATTGTATAGTTGTTGATACTTCAGAATGGTCAGATAGAGAAGGGATTGGTTAAAATACCCCTTACATGTGCAACCCATAGAGACATCTAAAACCTATTACCCTATTGCTTGACTTGTCCAGACTTGATATTGTTGAAGTTCCTGTCACAAGTTGAAGGAGTTTACAACGTAAACACAACTATTTGCATGTATCCTTACTATGAATTATATATAAAATCGTATTATGAGCTATTCCATTTACTTTTTTGTAGATGCTATCTGAGAAAGATCAAACCTGCCAGGTCGCCTTAGAAACCATTAATCGTCTACAAACATTCTTGATAGGTATGTACACTGTCTGTATTCTGTTCCTTTTACTTGTCCTGTTTTCACTTCCTGTCTGTGGTCTGTTCCTGGTACTGGTCCTGTTTTCACTTCCTGTTTGTGATATGTTCCAGATGCTGTTCCTGTTTTCACTTCCTGTCATTGGTCTTTTCCTGGTACTGGTCCTGTTTTCACTTCCTGTTTGTGATATGTTCCAGATGCTGTTCCTGTTTTCACTTCCTGTCATTGGTCTGTTCCTGGTACTGGTCCTGTTTTCACTTCCTGTTTGTGGTCTGTTCCTGGTACTGGTCCTGTTTTCACTTCCTGTGTGTGGTCTGTTCTTGGTACTGGTCTTGTTTTCGCTTCCTGTCTGTGGTCTGTTCCTGGTACTGTTCCTGTTTTCACTTCCTGTCTGTGGTGTGTTCCTCATACTGGTCCTGTTATCTCATCCTGTTTGTGGTCTGTTCCTGGTACTGGTCATGTTTTCTCTTCCTGTATGTGGTCTGTTCCTGGTACTGTTCCTGGTTTCACTTCCTGTCTGTGGTCTGTTCCTGGTACTGGTCCTGTTTTCACTTCCTATGTGTGGTGTGTTCCTGGTACTGGTCCTGTTTTCTCTTCCTGTTTGTGGTCTGTTCCAGATGCTGGTCCTGTTTTCATTTCCTGTCTTTGGTCTTTTCCTGGTACTGGTCCTGTTTTCTCTTCCTGTTTATGGTCTGTTCCTGGTACATTTTTTGCTTCTTGTCTGTGGTCTGTTTCTGGTACTGGTCCTGTTTTCACTTCCTGTCTGTGGTCTGTTCCTGATACTGGTCCTGTTATCTCTTCCTGTTTGTGGTCTGTTCCTAGTACTGGTCCTGTTTTCACTTCCTCTCTGTGGTCTGTTCCTGGTACTGTTCCTGTTTTCACTTCCTGTCTGTGGTTTGTTCCTGGTACTGACCCTGTTTTCACTTCCTGTGTGTGGTCTGTTCCTGATACTGGTCCTGTTTTCACTTCCTGTCTGTGGTCTGTTTCTTGTACTGGTCCTGTTTTAACTTCCTGTGTGTGGTCTGTTCCTGGTACTGGTCCTGTTTTCTCTTCCTGTGTGTGGTCTGTTCCTGGTACTGGTCCTGTTTTCTCTTCCTGTGTGTGGTCTGTTCCTGGTACTGGTCCTGTTTTCTCTTCCTGTCTGTGGTCTGTTCCTGGTACTGGTCCTGTTTTCACTTCCTGTCTGTGGTCTTTTCCTGGTCCTGGTCTTGTTATCTCTTCCTGTCTGTGGTGTGTTCCTGGTACTGGTCCCGTTTTCACTTCCTTTTCGTGGTCCCTTCCTGATCCTGGTCCTGTTTTCCCTTCCTGTTTGTGGTCTGTTCCTGGTACTGGTCCTGTTTTCACTTCCTTTCTGTGGTGTGTTCTTGGTACTGGTCCTGTTTTCTCTTCCTGTTTGTGGTCTGTTCCAGATGCTGGTCCTGTTTTCATTTCCTGTCTTTGGTCTTTTCCTGGTACTGTTCCTGTTTTCACTTCCTGTTTTTGGTCTGTTCCTGGTACTGGTCCTGTTTTCACTTCCTGTCTGTGGTCTGTTCCTGGTACATTTTTCGCTTCCTGTCTGTGGTCTGTTCCTGGTACTGGTCCTGTTTTCACTTCCTGTCTGTGGTCTGTTCCTGATACTGGTCCTGTTATCTCTTCCTGTTTGTGGTATGTTCCTGGTACTGGTCCTGTTTTCACTTCCTGTCTGTGGTCTGTTCCTGGTAGTGTTCCTGTTTTCACTTCCTGTCTGTGGTGTGTTCCTGGTACTGGTCCTGTTTTCACGTCCTGTCTGTGGTCCCTTCCTGATCCTGGTCCTGTTTGTCCTTCCTGTTTGTGGTCTGTTCCTGGTACTGGTCCTGTTTTCTCTTCCTCTTGGTGTTCTGTTCCTGGTAATGGTCCTGTTTACACTTCCTGTCTTTGGTGTGTTCCTGGTACTGGTCCTGTTTTCACTTTCTGTCTGTGGTGTGTTCCTGGCACTGGTCCTGTTTTCACTTCCTGTCTGTGATCTGTTCCTTGTACTGGTCCTGTTTTCACTTCCTGTCTGTGGTCTGTTCCTGGTACTGGTCCTGTTTTCTCTTCCTGTCTGTGGTCTGTTCCTGGTACTGGTCCTGTTTTCACTTCCTGTCTGTGATCCGTTCCTAGTACTTGTCCTGTTTTCACTTCCTGTCTGTGGTCTGTTCCTGGAACTGGTCCTGTTTTCACTTCCTGTCTGTGGTCTGTTTCTGGTACTGGTCCTGTTTTCACATTCTGTCTGTGATCCGTTCTTTGTACTGGTCCTGTTTTCACTTCCTGTTTGTGGTCTGTTCCTGGTACTGGTCCTGTTTTCACTTCTGTCTGTGGTCTGTTTCTGGTACTGGTCCTTTTTTCAGTTCCTGTCTGTGATCCGTTCCTGACACTGGTCCTGTTTTCACTTCCTGTCTGTGATCCGTTCCTGGTAATGGTCTTACTTCCTATAGGACGTACATTTGACACAATGGCCTAAATGTACCAGTTATATTTTACGCTCCAAATAAAAAGACCCAGCAGTATGTGACCCATCTTCCCGAGGCAAGAGCGTTAACTGAATGTAAAAAGTAAAGTTTCCATCCTTGCCGAGCTAGGCTGGAATTCCTGGGCTCGATCGTAGCGCCACCAGCGGCTATTACGGGTTATATTCCCTCTATGTCCCTGGCCTAGACATATCGGATTTAACCTCTCATATCGCTACATTTGCTTGAAATAAAATGGCGGCGCCAGGTCAAGACGATTTGATCGATAACCAAGATCTTTCTTGTAATAAAAAGGGTCTTACTTTGCGAAGTGCTTGAAATAATGTGAGTACCTGGGTTAAAAACATGAAACAATTTAGAATATTTCTTTTGACGGCATGTTGACAGTACACATGCTTTGTTTATAAACTGGATGTTGATGTTGTTACGCGATTTTGATAGGACTATGCATGGACATAGTTAGTCAAGCCATTACATAACTCCATAATTCGAACCTAGTTCGGCATGGGTGGAAACTAGACTTATATAGTCCGTTAACTCCCTTGCCTCAGGAAGATGTATCTGACCCAGTATGACACGGTATGTGACCCAGTATGTGACCCGGTTTGTGACACAAGTACCCCTGAGTCACACAAGGACAACTCTGTACTGTTATTTTCTTGCAGGTTTCCCAACTGAAGGCTGTGTTCATCTGCTGAAGACAGGTGTAGTAGACAGACGCATGGTCCTGAATTGTGAGTACCTAAACTGAAGATCAAAAGAAAGTTCACATAAGAAAATGTTGAACAACCCAAAAATTGCATGCAGACAAAAGTTGGAACCAAAAAGACACCGAACAAACGCCACGTTTTAATGCAGAACTGAGAGAGAGAGGGCCATTGGTACGGCCATGGTGGTGACTCAACAAGGTCAGATTGGCTTTCTAAACAACGTCAACGTGCCTGTACTGAGTGCGTGAGTGAGTGCGCTTGATTTAACGCCGCTTTTAGCAATATTCCAGCAATATGACGGCGGGGGACACCAGAAATGGGCTTTTGTATTGTACGCAGGTCGGGAATCGAACGCGAGTCTTCGGGGTGACGAGCGAACGCTTTAACCACTAGGCTACCCGACTGTCCCGTGCCCGTACTGCTTTGACCCTCACGTTCTCCCATCGAGCACTTGTGGGATCATCTGGGTAGAGAGCTGAGGAGACGACCCAACCATCCAAACAACTTACAGGAACACATTCCGGCAATTGTCATCTGACGTTTGACCCATACATGAGACATTGAGGCGTCAATCCTCGCCAGGGGAGGTCACACGCGGTATTGATGAGGTCGGCTCAATGTCACCTTATTGTCCGCTGATTTTCCAACCCATTTATTGGCCTCAGCCTTTGTCACGAATTTCTTTGGGTCTTTGCTTTCATTTTACATTTGATCAAATTCAATGTCAACTTTCTGTTGATCCTCAGTTTACATCATCCGTTAAGTGGATATATACCCACACATTCAGTCTACTGAATCACTGCACAGTTACAATTTAGACATCATTGAGGAACTGGCATTGCTGTCATCATCACAAACACCTTTGCCACACATTTAGAAATATATCTTCCCTTAAGGGAAATGTGAAACAGGCACCTTATAACTAGAGACAAGTTAAACATTAGAGTTGTGTAATATTAGTCCATGTCTATTTGTTTTAAACATGGGTAGACAAATCTCACACGCAAATAATTCAAGAGTGTCTCAGTTCAGACCTTGCTTCAAATCGTTCAATGGACTCTGTTTTTTATGATTATGGAAAGGGTTTGTCGCTTTTATTTACATTCTTTCATTGATTTCTTACTGCAAATCCTCTCTCGCGAACCGCTTAATATTATACCACTGAAAACAAACAGGGCCCGGAAATCATTCACACCAGCCAGTATTAGCCTTTTAAATGATTATATGTTTAATACTTTTGAACAGTTCGCTGTACACAAATCTTATTCTTTTATTATCCCTTTTATTAAAGTTTACTATTGCTGTGATATAAATACATATATTTTAAAATACCAATCCTTGTCGTCACATTGGAAGCGTTTAATTTTCTAATCGACTGTGCAAAACAGATTTCCCTTGGGATAATAAAGTCTTATCTTATCTTATCTTATAATATTCTGGAAAACTTAAGTTGTTTCTGATTTGTTGACAAATAATACAAGCACAGGTAGACATTGTGTCGTCATATGAGGGTTCAAATACAAAATAAGGATCAATGTTTTTAGAAGGGGTAAAGCTGGTATGAGGAAGATATGTATTTAAAAAAAATCTGTTAATCATATATTTTCATAGAAGACCCGGGGTCTCACCAGCAAATACAAGCCTTGCTACATGCAGTTTTTCCTGAAAATTGACGATAGGATGATGTCACGGAGTGTATTATCACCCGCAACGAGGTGGGATGGGGGATATCGGAACGGAGCCCGTCCGTCCGTCCGCCTGTCCGTCCGTCCCCTTCCCAAAGGGGACACAGTTTCTCAAAAACCATTCAAAGACAGAGAAATGAAATTTATACACCGATTTTACTGGTCATGACCTAAGATGGGTTCAAAATTTGGTGCCGTAAATTCATTGTTTACAAAGGTATAGCCCTTGCTCCACGCTTTTCAACTTTGTGCATACTGCGTGAATTGGGACACGTTTTCTCAAAAACTACAGACCTTAAATGAATGAAACTTTCCAAGTCTCTAAATATTGTTCGAAGAGTTCGAAAATTTGTCTCCTCATTAATACTCATTAGAGAGTCATGGCCCTAGCTCCGTGTTTTGTTCAACTAAGTGCATACTTAGTGCAATGGGGAAAAGTTTTCACAGAAACTTCTGTAGTCACTCGAATGAAAGATTGCAGCCTTATCTAAAGGATACTTGTCAAGACTGAGTTCGAAAGTTGGTCCCATAAATTATCTGTTTACAGACTTCTGGCCCTTGATCCAGGTTATTTTACTTGGTGCACAGTGTGTGCAATGGAGACATGTTTTCTCAGAAAATACTGGAGTTAGCTTATTTGTTGCTTAACGCTGCACTCAACAATATTCCAGCTATGTGACGGCGGTCTGTAAAGAATCGACTCTGGATCAGACAATGCAGTGATTGACATCATGAGCATCGATTCACACAACTGAGATACCATGACAAGCATCAACCAAGTCAGGGAGCCTGAACCCCTGATCCCGTCTGTCGGGTCCAAAGATATACTTATCAAGACCGAGTTATTTTTTCTAGAGATGTGGCCTTTTGTGTGTTTTAATTTCACATGTAATTACTTATTCTGATGACATAAAGCGGCGTCAGTGACTATCTCTTCTTGAGGCTTCATGTGACTTTTTACACTTAATATTTACTACTGTATGAACAAACAAAATTCTATTGTGCCCCATGGCGAGGAGTGATGACATTGTTTTCATTTTAGTGTAGAGGTGATCTTCCTCATAATTAACAGAATGTCCCTTGTTTATTGTGTTATGGTTTGTGTCCTGTACTGATAATGCTGCCTGTCTACTATCTCCCAACGTCAACCCGCCGAGACACGTGGGTGCACAAGCCCCGACATTGAAACACCATGTCACGTGACACTGTGATCTTATCATTGTTTGCAATCTACATGTCCCTCGTTACACCACGTTGACTCGTATACGCCTGTGATTGCGATTGTTCGACCTCTGAATGTTTATCCCTGTGTTTTAGTTATTCAAAATCTCAGCTGCACTTTTTTCAGATTTATATGAAGTCTAATCACTGAATGTTAATGTTTTGTGTCTTCCGCTCTGATTCATTTACTAACTTACGAACCATTCACTAGATCTCGGGGAAGAATAGGTCTTCAGCAACCCATGCTTGCCGTAATAGGCGACTAAGCTTGTCGTTAGAGGCGACTTATGGGATCGGGCGGTCAGGCTCGCTGACTTGATTGACGCATGTCATCGAATCGCAATTGCGTGGATTGATGCTCATCATGTCAATCAGTGGATTGTCTGGCCCTGAATCGATTTTTTTACAGACCACCGTCATATATCTGGAATTTGCAGAGTGTGGTCTTAAACAACAAAAAAACACACACTAGACCCTTTAAGAACTAAACACATATAATAGATACAAATGTAATACACATAAGGTTTTATTTTCGTACAACTGCAATATGATTATATTACGCTATTTATATATCAGGACAACGTACTTAGCTGTCAATTACAAGCATGTAAATACCATTATATCTTGCGAAACTGTAACTATATGTGTCTCATGTTTTATTCACATATAAACTACATTCATATTTTGTAGGTTTACATCTAAAGTATGACAAAGACAGAGTCAATCTCAACGAAGTCCACATCAACACAGAAGGAGACCTGGTCAACAGGGAGTCGGACACTAGACCTGCAGGGGAGGGGAGACTGAAGAGGTACAGTGGCACATGTAGCACTGCCCCCCTCCCCCAGGGTGGCTGTCCCCAGTACTGGGAGATGAAATCTAGGGTCTGCCTGGATGAAACACTCATAGGGAACTTGCTCATCCTGGAGGTTTGTGTGTGCAGGGAGGAGCAGATGGACGGGTATTGTATAGGTGGAAGTCCCAGATATTACAGCATGACCGTCGCCCACTGTCCTACACACGGCAAGATATGCAGGAAGACATGTAAGGAGTGGAAGTATGTGCGGTGTCTGCCTGACACTCTCCCCAACACAGCATGGGCATCACACACACTACATTACGGTGTCGTCTATGATGACGCCAGGAAGAAGATTGTCTTCATTGATGTGAAGGAGAATAAAGTGATATCGACGTTACACAATGTAGACTCCAGTCAGACACTGTGGCCGATGTTCGGGGTGTATAACCCTGATCTCCTCACCGTCAGCATGACACTTGTAGTGGGCAGCGACATCAACATGACAGAGGAGAAGAAAGCAATGATTGTCAAGGCACTGTCGTGATGGTGGCAATGATTGTCAAGGCTCTGTCGTGGTGGTGAGTGAGTGAGTGAGTTAAAGCTTTACGTCACATCGGCAATATTACAGCCATATCGTGACGAAAACATTTATAATACTGACATTAAAATAAAACACCTGTCATCGACGGACAGTAGAACAACTAGCATATCACAGTTTATAAGTAAAACTAGTTTACATTATAAAAAACGGGCTAGAGATCGCCAGCAACCAAAGTTAGGCCACCTCACTGGGGCCAGTGGTGACTTACAATACTTCTGCTACCTGCTCGGCTCCCCAGCAGGATTTACACCATCCCTTCAGATGCTGGCGATGGTACGCAAGTCGTGGTGGTGACAATGATTGTCAAGGCACTGTTGTGATGGTGGCAATGATTGTCAAGGCACTGTCGTGATGGTGGCAATGATTTTCAAGGCACTGTCATGGTGGTGACATGATTGTCAAGGCACTGTCGTGATGGTGGCAATGGTTGTCAAGGCACTATCGTGATGGTGGCAATGATTGTCAATGCACTGTCGTGATGGTGGCAATGATTGTCAAGGCACTGTCGTGATGGTGGCAATGATTGTCAAGGCACTGTCGTGATGATGGTGATTATGAACACATTGTGAATGAAAAATGGGTTTGGTTTTTAATGATATGTTATGTTTGGCATATGTTGTATTCAATGAGGTTACTATAATATTGAGGAAAATCATCACATTTTAAAGAGACCCATAAAGATTCAGGACTAGAATAGGTCTTCAGCAACCCATGCTCGCCGTAAAAGGTGACTATGTTTGTCGTAAAAGGCGACTAATGGGATCGGGTGGTCAGGCTCGCTGACTTGGTTGATGCATGTCATCGAACCCAATTGCGTGAATTGATGCTCATGATATTAATCACTGGATTGTCTGGTCCCCAGACTTTATTATTTACAGACTGGCGTCATATAGCTGGAATGTTGCAAAGTGCGGCGTTCAACAACAAACAAACAAACAAACCATTTTATGGCCGCCTCCAGCATTTCTTTAGGGCATTTCGCAACAACAGTGAGAGTGAGACTTTTTTTCCCTGCATTCGTCTCCAGGGAGAAAATTCCTGAACATAGTTGGAGCATGCTTCAATGATTACTGATGTGTCTGCGAGTGTAGTTTTATGCGTCTTGAAACAACATTTCCGAAAAATCACGCCTGGGGACACCAGAAATTTACTTCAAATATTTTACCCATGTATGTGTGGAATCGAACCAGGGTCAGTGGTCTGACGAGTGAATACTCTTACCACTGGCCTACCCAACCGCCCCTGATTATTGTGGAAATAATGGTTCACTTTCCCGTAATGTTCTACACCTGTTTCTTATAAGACTTATGAATGCACACTATGCTGTCGGAAGAGGCGACTAACGGGATCGGTTGGCCAGGCTTGCTGACTTGATTGATGCATGTCATCTATCCAAATTGTGTGGATCAATGTTCATGATGTCAATCACTGGATTGTCTGGTCCAGACTCGATTATTTGCAAACCGCCGTCATATAGCTTGAATATTTTTGAGTGCGACGTTAAATAACAAACATTACATATATCTCTACTATGATTTTATTGTCTTAATGTTGAAATCGTGTCTCCATGGCAACAGACTTGAAATGGAATTGAAGGATGGAATAACCAAATAGTTGTTTTATATTTGTTGACTTCTTGTGAAACGTTGTATGCTAATTAAAATGTTGTAAACTGACGGAAGGCATGGATCGTGTTCCATGCCGAGGTTATAAACCTTTCAGTCTTTCTCATTGAAAATTAAGATCAATTAGTTTATGCCTTTATTTTTTTTAAAACTGGGCTTAGATTTAAATGTGTCATGTCTATAGCTATCTATCCTTATGTATAACTGCTTTATTAGGATTTGTACATGCATACCAAACGCTTTCGCCATTTGAATATATGTATGAACCCAGTGAGTGAGTTAAAACTTTACGTCGCATCGGCATTATTTCATCCATATAGCGACGAGAACAAGTTAATACATTTACAATTTAGTTATTTATGCAAAGTTATATTTAACAACAATTTATGAAACATATTTTAGCATAACAATATCATGTATACAGTTTTAAAACACGGGCTATAGGCCACCAGTAACCAAAGCTGGGCCACCTCGCTGGGGATCATGGGGACTTACAATACCTGTGCTTCCTGCATGATGCCCCGGCAGGATTTACGTCATCACTTTGGCTCATAGTGGTTGTGCACAATACTTATCAATATAAACAAAAAGTCATCAATGAGTTGGCTTAAAAACACTGGTTGATGATAGTTACATGGATTATGAAAGGATTACGTGTCACACAGGGGGACAATAACTTTTCGCCACTTCAACCCTCTGGAGAGAGCCTTCAATAATGTCAGTTGATAATAGCATCACAAAATCAAGTATTTGATTATTCACACAAATATTTAAAATGTGTTTTAAACGACTTTTAACAAGTCGAGAACCTTCAGACACTTTGCCCTGATATATTTGAGTACCTTCTAAAAATAAATCTGGATCCTTAATCGGTTTGTATTGACGACAGAAATGAATACAGATTGTCTTGGATTTTGATAATTTGAAGCCGTTTTCGTTCGTCCATTTTTGAATTTTGTTAAGCTGTCTTTCTATTGTATTCATATTCTTAACACAACAGGAAATGTTGAAACCGTCAACAAAAAGTGAACCATCAACGCTATTGTTTAATACTTTAGTGCGACTATTAATTTGGATGCTAAAAAGTGTGATTGATATTATGCTGCTTAGAGGGACGCCCTGATCTTGGCCCAAATGATCAGTTCGTTAGAGCCAACACGTACTTGAAATTGTCTGTTGTTAAAAAATTGAGATATGAACTGAGGTAATCTGCCCCTCAATCCAAATTCATGCAAATCTTTTAAAATACCATGTTTTCACGTTGTATCATATGCCTTCTCTAGGTCGTAAAAGATTGATAAAGTATGTTGTTTGTTGACAATGGAATTCTTAATAAATTATTCTAAACGCACCAAATTGTTAATGTTACTTCTGTTCTTTCGTAAACCACGCTGGATGTCACTCAGGAGGTTATTGGTCTCCAGGTACCAGACTTATCAATTGTTGACCATGCACGCCATGGTTTTACAAACACAGCCAGTTAATGATATTGGACGGTAATTGAATGGACCTATATGATGCCGTCCAGTTTTTGGAAAAGGAATAATAATAACATTGTGCCACGAAGGAGGAAAATTTCCGATTGTCCATATTTCATCCAATATACCAAGTAACGTTTCCAAACATGAATCGGGCAAGTGTTTCTGGAGCTGATAGTGGATGTTGCCAGCTCCTGCTGCAGTATTATGAGCGTAAAGTTCCACCTTGTTGAAGGTGGTTCGTCAGACGGATTAATAGTTGTCAGTATTGTTGGAAAATGGTCACTTCTACAAGGGACATCATGGACCGACCATTCGAATTCATTTAAAATATTTGAATCTTTCAGTGAAAGATCTAGGGTAGAGTATGTGCCATTGGCAGGATGCAGATATGTGTTACTACCATCAATGAAGATGCATAAATCATTGTTTGAAATAAAATCGTCAAGGAATTTTCCCTAATTATTTGTATCAGTACTATGTACTATTGTATTATTACCGTTTAAATCGCCTATGATGATACAGCGCTTCGGGACCTGATCGTACAGAGTCTGCAGATCTGATTGAGGGATAGTTGAGGAAGGTGAGAAGGTACAGTCAACACAGCCACAGCTTGTAGAGTAGTGTTGAGTGGAACAGGGCTATGGATTATGCCCTGCTTCACCAGGATAGAGGAACCGCCTGTACTTTATCACCAGGAGGTGAAAACGAGTGGTAAGTACTGTACTGACCGATATCAAATATATCTGTGTTCTTTAAATATGTTACTTGTAGACAAAAAGCGGATGGTTTTAAATCTTGGATTAAAAGTTGTATTTCATTAAAATTCTTCTTAAGACCTTTGCAGTTCCATTGTATAATTTGTTGTGGATTCATGGTGGTGCTTCCACTGGAGAAATGTCACTCTTTTTTTCAAACGTGAGGAAGACTTTGTAGTACTTCTATCGGTTTCATGTAGAGATGGGGTTACCATCATCTTCAGAGGACCAAAGGAGTTATTGACCTACTGGGACCTCTAAAGGAGAGGTGGCAATTTCTGGTTCTGGTTCTGGTTCTGGTTCTGGTTCTGGTTCTGGTTCTGGTTCAGGTGTTGGTTGAGGAGTCTGAAACTCAACACTTTTTACAGTTTTATGTTTTGGAGGTGTCGCAGACGAGGGTGTCACAGCTGGTTTATTGAGTGAAGAGTTTGTTGTTTAACGCCGCACTCAGCAATATTCCAGCTATATGACGGTGGTCTGTAAATAATCGAGACCAAACAATCCAGTGATTGACAACATGAACATCGATCCACGCAATTGGGCAACCAAGTCACCGAGCCTGACCACCTGATCCCGTTAGTCGCCTTTTACGACTAGCATAGTCTCCTTTTACGGCAAGCATTGGTTGCTGAAGACCTATTCTACCTGGGTCTTCACGGGCACAGTAGGAAGTGGCTTGACAGACTTTATCCATGTCAGATGAGTCTGGCAATTGGTAGAGGCAGTGGTTACAGGAGGACGAAAGACAGACTAGGATAAATTAGTAGTAGTTGTGGTAAGACCTACAAACCTCTTCTTAGCTTTGTGGTCCGAGAGATTCTGTTCTGTTTTGATTCTTATAATTTGTGATTGATGTATGCAGAAGCCATATTGTTCCCACCGCAGTCTGCACACTTCACATCCTTCCTGCAGTCAGTGGCCTCGTGTTTGTCACCACAGCTGTAACAAACAGCAGAGGCATGGCAGGACTAGGATCCATGTCCAAACGCTTGGCAGGTGTAGCACCGGAGTGGGTTTTGGGATATACACCTCCACTCCAATGTTACAATAACCAGCTTTGATCGATTGAGGGATAGACGTTTGGTTGAATGAGTGAGTGAGTTGGGTTTAACATCGCTTTTAACAGTATTCCAGTTATATCACGGCGTGTCAGCCTAATGTGAGAGGAAAGCCCGAAGTGATGCAGGCCTCAGACGTTTACCACTTCGGTGAAACCCACGAGCGCGGGTATGGTGCTGACAAACCTAGAAACATAATCGGGGCAAACCGTGATTCGAACCCACAATCATAGCTTTCTGGCGTGACCAAGGGGCGCAACTCTGCAAATCGAATTGTGGCGCCTTAGAAGACTGGGCCACTCGTGCCCCCTCGGTTGAATGAGGAGAGGTAGGTGTTGGTCGGTTGGACCACACCATCCTTCTTTACAGTGAATTATTTGACAGCTGTGGCGGACTGTTGGTCAAGTTCCTTGGCAATGTCATCTTCGGTCATGCCGGCCAGGCATCGTGCTCTCTCACGGACAATGCCCTTACATGAGTTCAGTGTCTGAGCGCTGAAACAACAACTTTGATATTGACAAACTCATTTCATTTGAGAAGATTGACAGATTGTTGTCAAGGAGAGAGCCACAACGAAGCTTGGTGACATGTGTAACCTCTCCGCAAATACCAGTGATACCTTTTATTGGTTCTTTGTCTTAAGCTTCTATTACAAAGAAACGTGGCCATTAGACGGATCGATTTGATGTGCCCTCGTTTGACGAGGTATTGTCAGTATATATGTATCTTCTTTTTGAACCATAGAGTTGTGAAGCCATGACGAAAGGACAATGATTCTGCACCCCTTATCCCCCACCAATCATGGAGTGTCAACAAGGACAGTCTTATGCTGCAGCGGATTTCCAAGCAACAAGACCGAGGATAAAGTGGTGTTATATTCCAGCAAATTTGACGCGAAAAGATATAGCTATTTACCAAATTAATGGTCAGGCTCGTTCGGCCCATGACAATTAATTGGAGACATAATTCGGAGGTCAGCATCACCAGATTGGCCCATGAGCCACCGCCTCCTAAGCATGGGACTCTAAACAAGTTTTATACATCGAAAGATGTGATAGAAACATTTAGAAATCATTGTTTTATAAATACCAAAAGTGTAACAAGCCCATTGATAGAATCGGGCCAATTCTACCGCCAGTCTAGGCAAAGTTAGGGTCGAAGTGGTGTGTTGGACTGAGGAGCACCATTGCCGGCTCCGTCGCCCTCAGCCACCCGACTCCCTTCCTCTGCCGACACAGGGTCGCAGCCCACGGCAAACAGGCTGCCCCATTCGGTCACTTTTTACGACCAGCAATGGGGTGCTGATGACACATTCTTGTTTATCTTCCCCGGGTCCCCACGGGGACCATAAGTACACAGGTGTCCCGACCTTGCCCATCACTACATGGAGGTCCCGACATTGCCTGTAAGGATACAGGTGTTGCGACATTGCCCATAAGTACACAGGTGTTGCGACATTCCCATAAGTACACAGGTGTTGCGACATTGCCCATGAGTACACAGGTGTCCCGACATTGCTCATAAGTACACAGGTGTCCCCAAATTGCCCATAAGTACACAGGTGTCCCGACATTGCCCATAAGTACACAGGTGTCCCCACATTGCCCATAAGTTCACAGGTGCCCCGACATTGCCCATAAGTACACAGGTTTTGCGACATTGCCCATAAGTACACAGGTGTCCCGACATTACCCATAAGTACACAGGTGTCCCGACATTGCCCATAAGTTCACAGGTGCCCCGACATTGCCCATAAGTACACAGGTGTCCCGACATTGCCCATAAGTACACATGTGTCCCGACATTGCCCATAAGTACACAGGTGTCCCGACATTGCCCATAAGTACACATGTGTCCCCACATTGCCCATCACTACATGGAGGTCCCGACATTCCCATAAGTACACAGGTTTTGCGACATTGCCCATAAGAACACAGGTTTCCCAACATTGCCCGTAATAACACAGGTGTCCCGACATTGCCCCTAATTACACAGGTGTCCCGACACTGCCTGTAAGTAAACAGGTGCTGTGACATTGCCCGTAATAACACAGGTGTCCCGACATTGCCCGTAATTACACAGATGTCTCGACATTGCCTGTAAGTAAACAGGTGCTGTGACATTGCCCATAATAACACATGTGTCCCGACATTGACCGTAATGACACAGGTATCTCGACATTGCCCGTAATTACACAGGTGTCCCCACATTGCCCGTAATTACACAGATGTCCCGACATTGCCTGTAAGTAAACAGGTGCTGTGACATTGCCCATAATAACACATGTGTCCCGACATCGCCCGTAATAACACAGGTATCTCAACATTGCCCGTAATTACACAGGTGTCCCCACATTGCCCGTAATAACACAGGTGTCTCAACATTGGCCGTACGTACACAGGTGTCCCAGCATGGTCAGAGGTACATGTGTCCAGAAATTGCCCTTACGTAACATATGTCCCGGCATTCATTGCCCGTAAGTACACAGGTGTCCCGACATTGACCGTAAGTACACAGGTGTCCCGAAATTCATTGCCCGTGCGTACACAGGTGTCCCGACATTGCCATAGGTACACATGTGTCCCGACATTGCCCTTATGTAACATATGTCCTGGCATTGTAGGTGCACAGGTGTCCTGACAATTATTACCCGTAAGTACACAGGTGTCCCGACATTGCCAGTAATGACACAGGTGTCCCCACATTGCCGTAGGTATACAGGTGTTTTGACATTGCCAGTAAGTACACAGGTGTTGCGACATTGCCCGTAATTAGACAGGTGAACACTCTCAATGTCAATATAAAAAATCCAAACTTTCAATGCTTTATTGAGTTCTTCCCAGATTTACAATAAACCACTTTATCAACCTTCATTCAACATACAAACACAAACACAAACACACACACATAGACATACATAAACACACACACACACACACACACACACACACACACACACACACACACACACACACACACACACACACACACACACACACACACACACACACACACACACACACACACACACACACAAAGACACACACACACAAAGAAAAACACACACACACTGCACCAAATGTTACTTAACGCGCCAGAGGGTCTGCTTCAGAGGGCGCTTCAGTCGACGTGATGTCAGGTTCACGTCCATGTTCACAGCTGTCCGTTGACCGTCTCAGCAGCGTGGAACAGAACCCGGTGGCACTTGTCAGAAACAGCATAGCAGCTAATTGAGAAAAACTTTTTTATTATCAGTAAACGGTAAAACATTCTATCATAAATAATAGTTAGTTAATGATGTAATTTTATCATAAATAATAGTTAGTTAATGATGTAATTTTATCATAAATAATAGTTAGTTAATGATGTATTTTATCAAAAATAATAGTAAATGATGTAATTTTTTCATAAATGATAGTTAGTTAATTATTTAATTTTATGAGAAATAATAGTTAGTTAATGATGTAAGTTTATTAGAAATAATAGTTAGTTAATGATTTAATATCAATTTTATTTTCAGTATCTTTAAAAAGGTAAATATAGATAATATTTATCTTAAGCACGTGTGTTCAGTGATGAAATTGGAATAAGGACTAACTACATATTAAATTGACACGTACATATGAAGACAGTAAAACAAGTACTAAAGTTACCTGAGAACATAAACACGACGATGTACTGTCCGCTTTTCTTGTATATAACTCCTATTAAAGAGAAAGCAGGTAACATTAAGTTTATCAACACATGTTCCACCCCACCCCGTGTCGATTCCTGTCCCCAGCAATCAGCGCTGCTTGTATGAGTGAGTGAGTTAAACTTGAACGTCGCATTAGCATTGTTTCAGCCATATAGCGACGCTGCTTGTATGAAGCGATCAGGGGTCAGCTTCTGTGACTTGCAGGTTTATTGCGTCTGTTCATAGGGCGTGGGGCGTAGGGTGTGGGGCGTGGGGCGTAGGGTGTGGGGCGTGGGGCGTAGGGTGTGGGGCGTGTGGTGTGGGGCGTGGGGCGTAGGGGGGGAGCGTGGAGCGTGGGGCGTTGCTCACGATATCAGTGACTCAATTGTCTGGTCAACATTCAAATGTTCACAAGCCACGGTCATTAATCCCATTTCAACTCACCTCTTAAAAACGGCTCTAAGCGCCGCAATTCGCTTTGCAGAGTTGCGTCCCTTGGGCACGCCATAAACCTATGATTGTGAGTTCGAATCCCGGTTTGTCCCGATTACGTTCCAGGTTTGTCAGCATCATACCCCTACTCATGGGTTCACCAAAACAGTGAACGTCTGAGACCTGCATCATTTCGGGCTTTCCTCCCATATCAAGCTGAAACGCTGCGATTTAACTGGAATATCTTAAGAAGCGGTGTTAACCCCAACTCACTCACTTTCAAATATGACTTTCCTTGACAAATGTATTCAGGGTTGTGCTGCATGCTGCAACTTACCTGCTATTGGGGGTCCGAGAAGAGTTCCTATTCCGCACGAGAATGACGTTATTCCCACCCCCGAAGCGAGGAACTTGTCATCAAGAGTTTCCAGGATTATCGGTATCAATACCACAAACTGGCCGCCTGTGTATAATCCCGTTAGAAATCCGTACATGATTCTCCCGCCTGTTGTAAGGCTGAAGAACGGTAGAAATAAGGTCAAAGTTGCGACAACACTTGGTAAGCAGTTATAGAATACACCACTGCCAACTGAGGTATCGTTGGCTGCAAATCCCACGAGAAAACGGGACAGGATACTTCCAATACCAGAAGAGGAAATGGCAAGGGAGGAGTCTTGTAGTGACGCTCCGTTCTCGTACAAGAAGTCAGGCAAGAAGAGATACAGTGTTGATATTGACATAGAGTAGCAAAAAATACTGCATAAAAGCATCGTAAATGACAGGCTTTTGAAAACGGTTATAAACTGCCTACAGTGTTTATAAAATGCCTGCATAGCTTGCCCGCAGGACAGTTGCGTTGTGGCAGGCTGTCTCTTCCGTTCTGTTTCAAATGGAGACGGTTCCAAGAGCATTGCAAAAACGCAGAGATTAAACATGACACCGCCGTTGAGAAGGAATGCTCCCTGGAGGCCATATTGGTTCAGCAGATATCGAATCAGGATTGGATGGATGAAAACACCAAGGCCAGAACCGCATGTGATGACACCGGAAACTAAACTGGATGTCTTCGGGAAATGATAGCCAATAGACACCATGCATCCACCTTGGGCGAATCCTGTCCCCAAACCTGAAACATTGAAAGAGAAAGTAAATCTAACACATGTGTACCGGTAACAATTTGTTCCTGTGTTTTATAAGGTGAACAATTCACTTGCCCCAAACTCCCTACAGTGAGACAATTATATGATACTGGGATCCTATTCGGCCGCAGAATTCAAAGAGGGAGACAGTCATATGAAACTGGGATCCTATTCGGTCCCAGAATTCACGGAGTGAGACAATCATGTGATACTGGGATCCTTCTTGATCCCAGAATGCACAGAGTGAGACATTCATATGACGCTTAGATACTATTCGGCCAAAGAATTCACTGAAGGATACACTCATATGATACTGGGATACTTATACGGTCCCAGAATTCACAGAGTGAGACAAGCATATCATACTGGGATCCTTTTACGGTCCAAGAATCCACAGAGTGAGACAATCATATCATGCTGGGATACTATGCGGTCCCAGAATTCACGGAGGGAGACAATCATATAATACTGGGATCCTATTCGACCCCTAAATCCCCACAGTGAGACAATCATATGGTACCGGGATCCTGTTCTGCCACAGAATTCACGGAGGGAGACATTCATATGCTACTGGAATCCTATTCAGCCACAAACTTCACACTGTGAAACAATCATATGACACTGGGATCCTATTCTGCCACAGAATTCACACAGTGTGACAATCATATGATACTGGGATCCTATTCAGTCCGAGAACTCACAGAGTTAGACAATCATATAATACTGGAATCCTATTCGACCCCTAAATCCCCACAGTGAGACAATCATATGATACCGGGATACTGTTCTGCCACAGAATTCACGGAGGGAGACAATCATATGATACTGGAATCCTATTCAGCCACAGACTTCACACAGTGAAACAATCATATGACACTGGGATCCTATTCGGCCCAAGAATTCACACAGTGAGACAATCATATGATACTGGGATCCTATTCAGTCCGAGAACTCACAGAGTTAGACAATCATATAATACTGGGATCCTATTTGACCCCTAAATCCCCACAGTGAGACAATCATATGATACTTGGATCCTGTTCTGCCACAGAAATCACGGAGGGAGACAATTATTTGAAACTGGGATCCTATTTGGCCCCAAAATCCCTACAGTGAGACAATCATATGATACTGGGATACTATTCGGCCACAGAATTCACGGAGAGAGACATTCATATGATACTGGGATCCTATTCGGCCACAGAACACAGTGAGACAACCATATGATACTTGGATCCTGTTCTGCCACAGAATTCACGGAGGGAGACAATTATATGGTACTGGGATCCTATTCGGCCTATAATTCAAAGAGGGAGACAGTCATATGAAACTGGGATCCTATTCGGTCCCAGAATTCACGGAGTGAGACAATCATGTGATACTGGGATCCTTCTTGATCCCAGAATGCACAGAGTGAGACATTCATATGACACTTGGATACTATTCGGCCCAAGAATTCACTGAAGGAGACACTCATATGATACTGGGATACTTATACGGTCCCAGAATTCACAGAGTGAGACAAGCATATCATACTGGGATCCTTTTACGGTCCCAGAATCCAAAGAGTGAGACAATCATATCATGCTGGGATACTATGCGGTCCCAGAATTCACGGAGGGAGACAATCATATGGTACTGGGATCCTATTCGGCCCCAGAATTCACAGAGGGAGACAAGCATATGATGCTGGGATAAATAAGAGGTATCTACTCTACATTGGGACCACATCAAATATCAATACACAGTAGGTTTATCTCCTGAGTAACAACCTCATTCTAATCATTCAGCTTCATATTGTGCTTTTCAACATTGAGACAAGCACGTGGTACTGGAAACCTACTCTGCCACAGAATTCCAAGTGAGACAATCATGTGATACTGGGATCCTATTCGGTCCCAGAGGCCCTACAGTGAGACAATCATATGATACTGGGATCCTATTCTGCCACAGAAGTCACAATGTGGGACAATCATGATGATACTGGGATCCTATTCGGCCCAAGAATTCACACAGTGAGACAATCATATGATACTGGGATCCTATTCAGTCCGAAAACTCACAGAGTTAGACAATCATATAATACTGGGTTCCTATTCGACCCATAAATCCCCACAGTGAGACAATCATATGGTACCGGGATCCTGTTCTGCCACAGAATTCACGGAGGGAGACATTCATATGATACTGGAATCCTATTCAGCCACAGACTTCACACTGTGAAACAATCATATGACACTGGGATCCTATTCTGCGAAAGAATTCACACAGTGAAACAATCATATGATACTGGGATCCTATTCAGTCCGAGAACTCACAGAGTTAGACAATCATATAATACTGGGATCCTATTCGACCCCTAAATCCCCACAGTGAGACAATCATATGATACTTGGATCCTGTTCTGCCAAAGAATTCACAGAGGGAGACAATTATATGAAACTGCGATCCTATTCGGCCCCAAAATCCCTACAGTGAGACAATCATATGATACTGGGATCCTATTCTGCCACAGAATACACGGAGAGAGACATTCATATGATACTGGGATCCTATTCGGCCACAGAACACAGTGAGACAACCATATGATACTTGGATCCTGTTCTGCCACAGAATTCACGGAGGAAGACAATCATATGATACTGGGATACTATTCGGCCCAAAATCCACACAGTGAGACAACCATATGATACTTGGATCCTGTTTTGCCACAGAATTCACGGAGGGAGACAATCATATCATACTGGGATACTATTCGGCCTATAATTCAAAAAGGGGGACAGTCATATGCAACTGGGATCCTATTCGGTCCCAGAATGCACAGAGTGAGACATTCATATGACACTTGGATACTATTCGGCCCAAGAATTCACTGAAGGAGACACTCATATGATACTGGGATACTTATACGGTCCCAGAATTCACAGAGTGAGACAAGCATATCATACTGGGATCCTTTAACGGTCCCAGAATCCACAGAGTGAGACAATCATATCATGCTGGGATACTATGCGGTCCCAGAATTCACGGAGGGAGACAATCATATGGTACTGGGATCCTATTCGGCCCCAGAATTCACAGAGGGAGACAAGCATATGATGCTGGGATAAATAAGAGGTATCTACTCTACATTGGGACCACATCAAATATCAATACACAGTAGGTTTATCTCCTGAGTAACAACCTCATTCTAATCATTCAGACCATCATATGATACCGGGATCCTATTCTGCCACAGAAGTCACAATGTGGGACAATCATATGATACTGGGATCCTATTCAGCCACAGACTTCACACTGTGAAACAATCATATGATACTGGGATCCTATTCAGCCACAGGCTTCACACAGTGAAACAATCATATGACACTGGGATCCTATTCGGCCCAAGAATTCACACAGTGAGACAATCGTATGATCCTGGGATCCTATTCAGTCCGAGAACTCACAGAGTTAGACAATAATATAATACTGGGATACTATTCGACCCATAAATCCCCACAGTGAGACAATCATATGATACCGGGATCCTGTTCTGCCACAGAATTCACGGAGGGAGACAATCATATGATACTGGGATCCTATTCGGCCACAGAATTCACAGAGAGAGACATTCATATGATACTGGGATCTTATTCAGCCACAGACTTCACACAGTGAAACAATCATATGACACTGGGATCCTTTCAGTCCGAGAACTCACAGAGTTAGACAATCATATAATACTGGGATCCTATTCGACCCCTAAATCCCCACAGTGAGACAATCATATGATACTTGGATCCTGTTCTGCCACAGAATTCACAGAGGGAGACAATTATATGAAACTGGGATCCTATTCGGCCCCAAAATCCCTACAGTGAGACAATCATATGATACTGGGATCCTATTCTGCCACAGAATTCACGGAGCGAGACATTCATATGATACTGGGATCCTATTCGGCCACAGAACACAGTGAGACAACCATATGATACTTGGATCCTGTTCTGCCACAGAATTCACGGAGGGAGACAATCATATGATACTGGGATACTATTCGGCCACAGAATTCACACAGTGAAACAATCATATGACACTGGGATCCTATTCGGCCCAAGAATTCACAGAGGGAGACAATGATATGATACTGGGATCCTGTTTTACCACAGAATTTACGGAGGGAGACAATCATATGATACTGGGATCCTGTTCTGTCACGGAATTCACAGAGTGAGACATTCATATGATACTTGGATCCTATTCGGCCACAGAATTCACAGAGTGAGACAATAATATAATACTGGGATCCTATTCGACCCCTTAATCCCCACACTGAGACAATCATATGATACTGGGATCCTGTTCTGCCACAGAATTCACGGCGGGAGACAATCATATTATACTGAGATCCTCTTCGGCCCAAAATTCACAGAGGGATACAAGCATATGATACTGGAATCCTTTTCTGCCACAGAATTCAAAGAGTGAGACATTCATATGATACTGCGATCCTGTTCAGCCACAGAATTCACGGAGGGAGACAATCATTGGATACTGGGATCCTATTCGGCTACAGAATTCACAGAGTGAGACATTCATATGATACTGCGATCCTGTTCAGTCCGAGAACTCACAGAGTTAGACAATCATATAATACTGGGATCCTATTCGACCCCTAAATCCCCACAGTGAGACAATCATATGATACCGGGATCCTGTTCTGCCACAGAATTCACGGAGGGAGACATTCATATGATACTGGAATCCTATTCAGCCACAGACTTCACACAGTGAAACAATCATATGATACTGGGATCCTATTCGGCCCAAGAATTCACACAGTGAGACAATCATATGATACTGGGATCCTATTCGGCCCCAGAATTCACAGAGTGAGACAATCATATGATACTGTGATCCTATTCTGCCACAGAACTCACCTAGTGAGACAATCATATGACGCTGGGATCCTTTTTGATCCAAGAACTCACATAGTGAGACAATCATATGATGCTGGGATCCTTTTTGGTCCCAGAACTCACATAGTGAGACAATCATATTGCGCTGGGATCCCATTCTGCCACAGAATCTACAGACAGAGACAATCTTATGATATTGGGATCCCATTCTGCCACAGACGTCACAGAGGGAGACAATCGTGTGATGAGAGAGAGTCTTGGAATCTGTGATTGAATACCCACTGGATTGACTGGAAGAATGTGAACTACACATGCGACATTGCCTAACTGGGTATTGGTTGTTTATGCATTTACTGACATCATTCACGTGATGTACACATTGACACATACCTGCAACAAGTGCGTATGAAATAAACAGCAGCTTGATGTCGTAGATGAAGAAGCTGGCGCCAAATCCTAGCAGCCCCAGCAGCCCTGACAGTATCACGCAGGTCCTACAGTCATAGGAGTTGATAACGAGGCTGGCTAGCGGACCTGGGGGATGAAAGTCAATCATGAGTTTCATAGATATGCATTGGTAGAGATGGACTGACTTAATGAAAGGGTATGTGTACTCTTTGTTGTATTTTAAATTTTCAAATTGTTCAAATCTGTGTTGGGCCTCTCACTTACACACTACTGAGGAAAGCTCGAAGAATTATCTTTAGTTTACTTAAGCACATTGTTCAATGAATTTTGTGTTTAACAAAGTAATTATGAATGTACGTAAGTTAATTGGTTGATTTAAATTCAAATTGAGAACTAAAATTTGGTTTGTTTTGTATATTGTTTAACGTCATGCTCAGCAATATTCAAGCTATATGACGGCCTGTAAATAATCGAGTCTGGACCAGACAATCCAGTCATTAAAATCATGCCAATCGATCCAGACAATTGGGATCTATGACATGTATCAACAAAGTCAGCGAGCCTGGCCACCCGATCCCGTTAGCCGCCTTGTATAACAAGCACAGGCGCCGTTACCGCCAGCATGTGTTGCTGAAGACCTGTTCTGATCTTCAAGGGTCACTAAATATGACTTGCACTTCAATAAGCATTGTTATACCTGTCAAAGAATACATGCAAGCAAACATTGATCCCAGCCAAGAAACGACCTCAATGTCATCAAATTGTTCCATCAGAGCCACGTGGTACACCCCAGCAACGTAGCTCAAGCTTGGTCCACACAGTTTGATCATAAAACCAGAAAATATTATAATCCAAGAGAGACCCATGCCGGCAATTCTTGAATGCTGTGAAAATAAAGTCATTGATTAATTTGTTTTGCGTCGACAGAAGACAAGGGTTAATGGTAGGGACAGGGGAGAGAGAGAGGGAGGAAGGGAGGGAGAGAGGGGAAGGTAGAGAGGGAGGGAGGGTCACACAGAGAGAGGGAGGGAGGTAAGGAGGGGGAGAGGAGAGAGAGAGAGAGAGAGAGAGAGAGAGAGAGAGAGAGAGAGAGAGAGAGACAGAGAGAGGGGTGGTGTTAAAGGGGGAGCCAATGTTTCCATTAAATCACACAATATAGATAATAAATTGCGAAAAGATTAAGGTTTGTGGCAAGCAGGGCGTATGTGGAGGGAGGTGGGGAGGTATTATAAACATGACATGTGTACATTTCAATTTAATTTAAACGATACAGCTGACTTCATCTTCGGCCAAGATGGCGAGGGACGTACCTTGTCTATATATATGGCGGTGTTTCACTATCCTGCTTCACGGGGCTGTGGCGGCAATATGCGATGACTGGCGAAAACACGACTGCAGGGTGATTTGTCTGGTATTCAGCCACCACGAAGATGAATTAGACGTAATATATATGTGAATGTGTACATATATATATTGTATATTATGGACTCTATGAAACACTAATGACCGTGTCCAAAAACTTCAGGTGAACGGAAGTTCCGGCCCGTGTACACAAACTTCACATAAGCGAAGGTTCCGACCCGTACACACAAACTTCTGGCGCGCAGCGGTTCTGGCTCGGACACACAAACTTCACATGAGCGGAGTTTTTTCGGCTCGTACACACAGACTTCAGGCAAGCGGAGGTTCCGGCTCGTACACACAAACTTCAGGCCAGCGGAGGTTCCGGCTCGTACACAAACAACCTTAAGTTGAGCGGAGCGACTGACGTACCTTGTCTATTGTTATATATGGGTCAGGTGTTTCAGAAAAATCACTAGCCTGTTTCACGGGTGTGTGGCAGCAATATACGGTGACTGACTAATACACGACTGCAGGATTGATTTGTCTGGTATTCAGCCGCCACGAAGATGGATTACACGTTAGATATATGTGAATGTGTAAATATATGTCTTGTATATCATGGACTCTATGCTGAAACACCAGTTAGCGTGTGGGTCAGTGCGTGAGGTGGTATCAGCAACACGTCAACCACACAGCGACAACACATTACACACACATTGAAACCATGAAACATCAATATTCATATCCCAGATTCAGAATTCAAACGTTTCTACACAAATACATGGCAATAAACTGGAGCGATCATAGCTATAAATAGATATGCTCGTCAGTTACCACGGAAGTGTTTACAAGCGTTCACAGTGAAATGAATTCTGTAAATAAATACCCCTGAATCTCCACACTTCCTAACATCATATTGTATCCGGTTCTGTGTCATCACAAATGCACTGTCACCTAATGAGGAGATTAACAACGCGATGCACAACAGCTGCAGCTCAGTGTATAATCGTGTCAGCTCTCGTGGCCTTCACCTTGCAGAATATTACACGCAGTATCACTGTGGGTGCATAACGACATATTTGATTGTGTCAGTGTAACGCATCTGCTCGGGTCGTAGAATAGACAGTGCAGGCGGTCGTGGTAGGGTCTTCATGCTGGTGTTTTGTACTAGAATTTATTGATGTCACTTATTAATTTTAGTCATTATTAATTCACCATGAACTATGGTTGC